ATATATTAAAGAATCCTCACTTCAACTCAAAGCTTGGTGGCATGGGCGAATCAAAGCTCTCCAAAATCTCGGTCTTCCCTCCGCCACTCTTTTTCTCCTCCTCCTCATCACCACCGAACCACCGTGCATACCAAGGGGACGTGGAGGCGGGTTGTGGCAGATCCATATTGTTCGGAGACTGGACATTATTGGGCAGCCCATCTGGAAAGTCCTCAACAAAGATAGGCATATTCTGCGGGCCGCTTGTGACCTTATCAAACATGATCTCAGCCCCCTCTATAAGCGCGAGGAGCACGCCGCCGAAGAGAGCCGAGCGGGAAGCCGGGCCGAGGCCTTGGCGCATCTGGAGGAATCCGCCTGTGGCGGCACCTGCGAAGATGGAATTCCAGGAATCCTCTTTTTGCCTTAGATATACCATGGAACAGTCAAAAGCGGAGAAAAGACCACCCCAGGCGGCAAAGCGGCCGCCGATACGAAGGGCGTGCATACGGACGGCTTGTGAGCCTCCAATGATTCGCTCGCCTTTTGGGGAGTTGTAGATGCCTTTCAGGAAGTGGACAGCCGATCCGCCCACGAAGCCCATGCCAAAGGCGCCGCCTAGGTCATCCAATATGCGATCGGGGCAAGGTGATCGAGTGGTTTCTGGGGTTGCCATTGTGATCCCGTATGGAATTAGTCTTGGGGGTTTTGTGAGGGTTTTGGGGGCAGAGAACCTTTATAGAGTTGGTTGGAGCAAATCCTCTTCAAAAATTTTATTTATTTATTTATTAATGTGTAAATATTTAATTAATTTCGTATTATATTGTTGTTTCAATTTTATCACCAAACTTAGTCGCTGAACTTTCTTTTTATTTCAAATAGACCCCAGGTGTTTTCTTCCTCCGCCTTAAGAGAATTGAATACTTAGACATGCTAATGGGATGAGGATAGAACTACCGTTTATTAAATAAAATAAAATAAAATAAAAATTGGGATGGATCAAGGCCAAACCATGAACTAGCCATATATCAATCACCCATTTAAAAATTGGAATTATGTAGTAGAATCTGTAGGAATTGGTTAAAATTATTAACCAAAAATTGAAAAATGAAAATGTGTGTAAAAGTGGAAAATGAAAAGGTGTGATTACGTGTCAACTTCGACCAAATATTCGGACTTGATTCGATGGTCAAATTATAAAAGAAAATAGACCCACTTATTCTACGCGTCGAGTAGATCGTCGTGGTATATTTGAAATCTCGAAACCAATTTCGGATGAATAAGAAATTGCAGATCAAATTTGGAAGAAATGGAGTGTTGCAACTTTTCGAAATGATGCAGGTTTTGGTCAAGTGTTGCAATTTTTTTGAAAGGATGCATATTTTGGCCCACACTACTTCATTTGAACCCTTTCTACATCTATAAATAGAACCCTATGGACATGATTTTGGATACACCAATTGCATTGAGCATTCATTCTCCTCTTACAATTCTCTCCTTTTTAAATTCCATAGCATTTCATACATTTCCTTTGTAGAGCGAAAATTCTGTCAAAAGTTCGTCGGTTTCTTGTGGTTTGAAGTGCTGCTACCACAAGTTGTGAATTCATTGTATCTTGGGAGACAAGTGTCATTCACCGTGAGTATCGTGGCGGGGCAATTTGTTTTAAGGAAAGAGATAACATCTCGCTTTGAATTATTCTCTATTTCGACTCCTTCTTAATCCTTGTTTTGCATAATCTTTATACCGAAACTCTATCCAAATTTTCATTCATATAAATTGTGTTTTGATCACGCTCTTGTGGGTTAAAACTGGTCAAACAAATATATCAAAAATCAACTCTTGCATAGCCATTTTTATAAGTCGTCTCCAACAATCTTAAGACAAATTTTGTATCTTTGTGGTTGGTTGTGGACAAACATTACTTTGTTTGAATAGTGCTTTGTGTACTATTCCTCCACCGATATTATCATCATTTTGTTGAACTTCTGTTTGTGTAACAGAAATGATTACCATCGGGATTTCGTCAAGTCAAAATGGTTCCAATAATGTGGTATCACCCGTGGCCATACCGTTGCATAATACTATTATCCCACATGGGGGAAAGTCGAAAAAATTTGCAGGAGTAGACTTCAAGAGATGGCAACAAAAGATGCTGTTTTATCTCTCCACTCTTAATTTGGCTAAATTTCTAAAGGAAACTGCACCGACTGTACAAGAAAGGGAAAATAATCGTGAATCGATTATTGCTTTGGATACATGGAAGCACTCGGACTTCTTATGCAAAAACTATATTCTAAACGGATTCGATAATACACTATATGGGGTGTATAGTTCAAAGGAATCAGCCAAAAAACTATGGGATTCTTTGGAGACAAAGTATGAGACCGAGGATGCTGGAACAAAGAAGTTCATTGTTAGCAAATTTTTAGACTATAAGATGGTGGATTCCAAAATCGTAATTAGTCAAGTGCAAGAGATTCAAGTTTCATTGCACGACATCCACGCCGAGAAAATGGAATTGAGTGAATCATTCCAAGTGGCTACCATTATTGAGAAACTCCCTCCTATGTGGAGAGATTTCAAAAATTACCTCAAGCACAAACGTAAGGAAATGAACTTGGAAGAATTGATTATCCGCTTGAGGATTGAAGAGGACAATCGAAAAATCGAACGAAGGTCGGTTGATCAAGATGGTGCAAATTTTGTTGAAATAGAACCAAAGGCAACAAACAAGAAACGAAAGGCTAATAATTATGCACCGCAAAGAGACAATTCCAAGAAGGCTAAGAAGTTCAAAGGGAATTGTTACAACTGTGACAAGGCTGGACATCGTTCAAGTGAATGTCGAAAGCCAAAGAAGAATGCTCAAGCTCACATAGTTGCAAATAACACTCTATCCGATGGACTGCGAGAAATGAGTTTATCTGCAATAGTGTGATGAAATGTTCAAGTTGAACGTTCTTACAATTGTACCGAAGCAAGTCGTTATGAATAAAACTATAAATTTCGTTTACTTGCTTGAGCCTTCATGTTTGTGGCATAGTCGATTAGGACATGTGAATTACAAATTTTGTGCAAACTAATGAATCATAGTTTAATTTCGGCGCATAAAATCAATCCTAATCATAAATGTGAAATATGTGTTGAAACAAAATTGCTTAAAACACCGTTCCATTCAATACAAAGGAACACAAATCCTCTTGAATTGATCCATGGCGATATATGCGATCTAAAATTTGTACAAACTCGAGGTGGTAAGAAATACTTTGTGACATTTATTGATGATTGTACAAAGTTTTGCTATGTCTTTCTTTTGGGAAGTAAAGACGAAGCCTTAGATGCATTCCAAACCTATAAGGCTGAAGTTGAAACACAACTTGAAAAACGAATAAAAAATATTCGTAGTGATAGAGGAGGTGAATATGGGGCACCGTTTGAAGATTTTTGTTTTGAACATGGAATTGTTCATCAAACAATGACACCTTACTCTCCTCAATCAAATGGTGTTGCAGAACGCAAAAATCGAACACTTAAAGAAATGATGAATGCCAGGTTAATAAGTTCGGGTTTACCACAGAACATGTGGGGGAGGTTATTTTAACCGCAAATAGTCTTCTTAATAAAATATCTCTTAAGAAAATGGAAGAGACACCATATGAACTACGGAAAGGACATCCTCCATCCCACCAATACTTGAAAGTGTAGGGGTGTTTGGCTAAGGTTGAGGTTCTTAAGCCTAAACAAGTGAAAATCGGTCATAAAACGATAGATTGCATATTTATTGGATATGTCAATAATAGTAGTGCATATCGATTTCTTGTACACAAATCCGAAATACAAGACGTAAACGAAGGGACCATAATTGAATCAAGGAATGTGACATTCTTTGAAAATATTTTTCCTTACAAAGATAAGAAAAATACGAGTTCTAACAAGAGAACATATGAAACTATCAATGGAACTTTAAATGAGGAAGAATCAAGACGTAGAAAAAGGGCTAGGACTTTCAAGACGTTTGACCCATATTTTCTAACTTATATGGTAGAGGATGATTCAAATACTTTCGATGAAGCAATGTCTACACCGAAAGCACCGCATTGGAAAGAAGCTATCAATAATGAAATAGATTCTATAATGCAAAACCATACATGAGAGTTGGTTGATTTACCTTCCGGTAACAAGCCTTTAGAATGCAAATGAATATTCAAAAGGAAATTGAAAACTGACAAATCCATTGATAAATATAAAGCTAGATTAGTTGCCAAAATATATAGGCAAAAGAAAGGACTTGATTTCTTTGATACCTACTCACCCGTGACTAGAATCACATCGATAAGGTTGTTAATTGTAATTGCGGCAATACACAATCTTGAAATTTATCAAATGGATGTAAAAATAGCATTCTTAAATGGTGAGTTAGAAGAGGAGATTTACATGGAGCAACCTGAAGGGTTTGTTTCTCCTAACCAAAAACATAAAGTGTATAAACTTGTTAAGTCCTTGTATGGATTAAAATAGACTCCTAAACAATGGCACCAAAAGTTTGACAAAACAATGTTGTCAAATGAATTCAAGATCAATGAATGTGACAAATGTGTATATATTAAACATACATCGTATGCCTATGTAATTGTATGTCTATATGTGGACAACATATTAATAATGGGCAATAGTCACGAAATGTTGCTTAACACCAAAAAGATGCTAACAAAGCATTTCGATATGAAAGATATGGGTGTGGCAGATGTAATCATAGGGATTAAAATTTCTAGAATGCAAGATGAAATTGTACTTTCATAATCTCACTACATAGAAAAAATACTTAAGAAGTTTGACGTATTTGAAGAAAGTCCTGTGAGAACTCCTCTTGATCCGAGTATGCACTTAGTCAAGAATACGGGAAAAAGCATATCACAACTAAGGTATTCACAAATAACTAGCAGTCTTATGTATATTACAAACTGCACTCAACCGAATATTGCTTTTGCGATGAATAAATTTAGTAGATTTACAAGTAATCCAAACCGTGATCATTGGAAGGCTTTGACGAGGGTTCTAAAGTACTTGAAGTATACCTTAAGCTATGGATTATACTTCACAAAATATCCTGCGGTACTAGAAGGATATTGTGATGTGAATTGGATATCCGATATGAAGGATTCCAAGTCCACTAGTGGTTATGTATTCACCATTGGTGGAGTTGTTGTATCATGGAAATCAACAAAGCAAACGTGCATAGCTCGATCAACGATGGAATCTAAGTTTATTGCTTTGGCCAAAGCTGGAGAAGAAGCAGAATGGCTTCGAAATTTCTTAGAAGATGTTCTATGTTGGCCCAAGCCAGTACCTACGATAAGTATACATTGTGATAGTCAATCAGCAATTGGAAGGGCTCGAAGTAGCATGTATAGTGGTAAGTCTAGATATATTCGTCGTAGACACAACACCATTAAGCAACTGATCTCAAATGGCGTTATCTCCAATAGATTATGTGAAATCAAAGGAAAATATTGTAGATCCACTTACGAAAAATTTGCCTAGAGATCAAGTGCGTTGCCTATCAAGAGAAATGGAATTAAATCTTACTAAGTAAGAGTTTTTGCAATGGTAACCCTACCTTGTTGACTGGAGATTCCAAGATCTTAGTTCAAGGAACAACTAAGTTGTGAAAATTCCATGAAACACTTAGGAAATTAGAATTCCTAACTCATTCCTTGATACTAAAGTGCTTTCTGTAGAGCGAATAGAGGCTAAGATTATCTTTTAATGATTTCTATATCTTGATTAAGTCAAGTGAAGTAGGGCAGAATACTCTTAATAGGAGGTCGCCATGTAAGTGTGAAATGGGGCCGCTTCGATAAGAATTGTTTAAGGTTTGAATTCTCTAAACACTTATGAAACCAAGAGGGGTTTAGGGCAAAAAATGAACAAAGTCATGAGAACTAAGTACAGAATATGGAAGATATCTGTGTGAGTACTGTTGTCTTAACTTACACCAAAGGTTGAGTGGTTCAAGACCTATGATTCACCAATTAGCCGAGTAAGTCCGATAGTATTTCACTAAGGGAGGTTTAAGGCCAGAAACCACCATCCCTGATGCAGTATTTTTTCGCACCCTCTCTACATTGCATCATATCATCGCATTTGTATATGCGTACCCGAATTTCCATTCATATGGGGGATTGTAGGAATTTGTTCAAATTATTAACCAAAAATTAGAAAATGAAAATGTGTGTAAAAGTGAAAAATGAAAAGGTGTGACTACGTGTCAATTTTGACCAAATATTCGGACTTGATTCGATGGTCAAATTACAAAAGTAAATAGACCAACTTATTGTACTCGTCGAGTAGATCGTCGTGGTATATTTGAAATCTCGAAACAATTTCGGATGAATGAAAAATTACGGACCAAATTTGGAAGAAATGAAGTGTTGCAACTTTTCGAAAGGATTGAGGTTTTGGCAATGTGTTGCAACTTTTTTGAAAGGATGCATGTTTTGACCCACACTACTTCATTTGTACCATTTCTATATCTATAAATAGAACCTTATGGACATGATTTTGGATACACCAATTGCATTGAGCATTCATTCTCCTCTTGCAATTCTCTCATTTCTAAATTCCATAGCATTTCATACATTTCCTTTGTAGAGGGAAAATTCTGTCAAAAGTTCGTCGGTTTCTTGTGGTTTAAAGTGCTGCTACCACAAGTCGTGAATTCATTGTATCTTGGGAGATAAGTTTCATTCACCGTGAACATCGTAGCGGGACAATTTGTCTTAAGGAAAGAGAAAACGTCTCGCCTTGGATTATTCTCTATTTCTACTCCTTCTTAATCCTTGTTTTGCGTAATCTTTATACCGAAACTCTGTCCAAATTTCCATTCATATAAATTGTGTTTTGATCACACTCTTGCGGGTTAAAACTGGTTAAACAAATATATCAAAAATCAACCCTTACATAGCCATTTTTATAAGTCATCTCCAAAGAATCTCTATGCTACGGTAGGTACGAAGATGTTAATTAAGTGGATGTAGCCTAAAAGAAGTATTACATTAAACACATTTAGCCTGGTTAGGTTTTGTTAAAAATCAGATTGTTAGTGATATTTGATAAAAAATTATAAAAATGCTTCGTATTAAGCCCTTGTTTGTGCTCCATTATTTCCATCAAAATATAGTTTTCAATATTAATTTGATCCCATTTCAACCAAACAATTTTTATTAAAATAATGTTACACGCAAATCTAAAATTTTTCTCTATTTTTTTAACCACACAGTTTTCATCAATACACTATTCAAAAATACATTTTTTGCTAAAAATGGGGATCAAATAAAGGCTAAAGAATTACATTAGCCTTTGCCGCATATCACTCCTAAATTTTGTTTGTTTTATTTTGTTTTTTGGCATGTTGTGAAGCTGTCAAGCTGTATTCTATGTGTAAATGGAAGGAATGCAAATTTCAGATGGCCTCTATATTGTAAACTGTCTTTATACTATTTCACCAAAGCATGGCATTGAACAAGGATAGCATTCTAATCAATTTGAGTTCTAATTTTAGTTATGCATGTGATTCTGATATGGATGATAAGGTTGCCTTCTACAATCAAAGATGCTGCTCAAAACATGACTCAAAAGAATGGTAGAATCATACATTTTTACTCACTGCTGGAAACTTCTCTACCATTATCGTTGGCATCATCATCCACATCCTCGTTCATTTGGGCCAATTTCACTAGCGATGGTTGACGAGTGTGTTTTACTCACAAGTTTATGCTAATTTTAACTTGATTGTGAGCTAGATTTTGCGTGTATTGAATGTTTTTAATGTATTTATTATTGTTGTTTTATCGGATTGTTGAGATGGTGAAAGACACAAGAAAACTCATCAAATAAAGCTATTGAAGTGAATCAAAAAGAAATTGTGGATAAAAGGACAAAAGAGGTAAAATACAATGTAGATTGGACGAGTGGCGCCAAGGTGCCACATGCTTTTGTTGTCAATTTTACTTTCACAAGTATACGGATCGTAACAAGTAATATAATGAACCTATGAGTCTGGATTATCGTTTCCACAAGGACTATACTTTAGCACTTAATCTAATCTTTTTTTTTTACCACTATTTAATTGAAACAAATAAAAACTTGCATGAATTGAGTTGTAATCTAAATACTAGAAAATATATGGGCACACACGCAATTTGTTTAGAAATCAAATAATGAATGGACGTTAGGGCAAATAATTTCACCTATTAATCATCTTTACATTTTAAATTAAGACTTACATATAATGTAGTATTCGATTGAATTCTCCTATTAAATTCAATTTTTTAACCAATTCAATTCAATATCTCTACGCGAATCTAGCTTAATTAAACGAGATTTTTATACTAGGAATTCAATTATGACTGCAATAATTAGTGTATATATCTCTACTCGTTATACCAATTTATCGAATTTTAATACATAGTCTAAATCGTAAACTCATATCTCAATTCATAAAGGATTCACAAAATCATGAAATTAGTGATCAAGTAATTTAATGTATTAAATCCATTGTAAAATCAACACATGAAAAAAATAAAGATCAAGAATCTTAATTAAAAACATAAAGGGTCCCAAATTAGGTTACATTATTCGCCTTAAAACGAATTTTAGTTATTCATAATAGAGGAAGGAAAACAAATAACAATAGTGAAGTCCATCACCGGGTTTTGAATTTAGATGTAAATTAGTGGATGAATTTTGCACCAAGTTCTTCTTGTTTCTAGATCTTGATTTCAAACCTTTGAATTGTTTTTTTCTCCTCTTAAATTTGCTCTCTAATTCTCAAGTTATATTCTCCTTATTTCAATGTGTGGAATCCTTTCAAAAGTGAGTGAAATATGTATTTATAGGTGTTTCCATGTGTGTGTCAAAAGTAGGACTTCACAACGCTCCAAAATGCGCCCTAGATGTACCCAGGGAGTGCCTCAGCACCGTATGAGAGGCATTGCGGCTCTGTTTTGGTGGTGTCGCTTTCGAGTAAAAGACAGACAACACTTCTTTTAGTAGTTTTATCATGACATTCTCTCTCTATGTTCGATTGAAATGATTCAAGTTGGATTGTAAAGCTAACTCAAAGGGCTACAACTTTACTTGAAATAAATATTTTCCAATTCAATTGTTTACTAGGTCAAAAATGGGTTTTAATCTTGAGCGAAAAATTCGGAGCGTACTTAAGCAGTTGAAAATCAACACCATGTCCATATTTTGATCATATTTCATTTCTTTTGATTTCTAATTGCATCCAATTGGCTCATAGCATTCTCGAATCTTCATCATGAGATTTGATGCCACTTTTGAGTATTTACAATTTAGTCTCCAAACTTTGAATCTTGTCCCTTTTCATCAATTTTCCACTTCTTCATGTGGCAGCTCAGTGCCACTCATCAAATCTACATTGTATTTTGTCTCTTTTGCTCTTTTATCCACAATTTCTTTTCGATCCATGGCAATAGCTTTATTTGATGAACTTTCTCGTATCTTTCACCATCTCAACAATCATATAAAAAAAATCTAATAAACACATTAAAAATGTCCAATACTCGCAAAATTTAGCCCGCAATCAATTTAAAATTGGCATAAACTCGTGAGTAAAACACACTCATCAATGGTCTACTTGGGACCTGTTAAACGATGAATCACATATCGACTAATTATCAAAATGTAGACTAATATATAAAAGTTTGGATTATTCATCTAACAAGGTTGACCTTCTAAGATAGTCCCCAATTTTTAATGTGATATCAGAGTTTATTGAGGTCAAACAAGTAATTTAATCTTATTAAGACTCCAAAAACAAGTATTAATTTCAAGATTGATTTGATCAAATGAGTTACTATCTTATCAAGACACTAAGAGATAAATACCACATTGATTAATTACAAAAATAGAAACTAACGTATAAGGGTTTGAACTATTATTCTTAACAAATTTAATCTTTTGAAATAAAATTTCAAGTCTTAATAGAACCTATAGCAGTGTGTACATAATCAAACTTCTATACAAATATTGTTTCACAATAAGCAACATGATCCTACAAATTCAAGCAAACAAGGCTAAAGAAAGAATAAAGATTATCAACCTCCAATTTTTTCGTCAACCTTTCGAGCCGAAAGCCATCCTCTCTCTAGAAACTATTGGATGGTGTCACGGAATTTTGCTCCAAAGATCATCAAATCTATGTTGTCTGGTTTCAGTTTTACATTATCTTTCTCTACCAAACAATCAATCTAAGTGGTTTCAATTCACAACCAATATATTCACCTTGATTGCTTCTCAGTCTCACTCACAAAAGGTAAGATAACGGTAATGATTGTAGCCACAAAGGCATGAAGGAAAAACCAATAAAAAGAAACACAAGAGGATAACCAAGACACAAAGAAGCCACAGATTTTTGGAATCACAAAGCAATTAGTTTTTCTCCCCTATGAGCAGACACATTTTTCTCAATTGCACACACAAATCATGCACACAAACGGCTAGGTAGGAGCACATATATGTAGGGTTATGTTAAGCTTTAGTTTGACCAATAATAAGGTTACATTGGCCAAAACTCAAAGTCATCCAAAAGGTAATATAAATGGGCTAGGTGGAGCCTTTGAATTTGATTGTTGATAATTATTTCACTCATCGGCCGAGACCTATGAGATATATTTCGATATTTAACATCACAACCTGATATTTATTAGATATCAAAATCCAACAGATCGCATGCTAAATCTTTGAGAAATTGTGAAAAGTTACAGTACTTTGACTTCATTAAAGAGGATGGGCATTTTAAATTTAATCTTAAACATTTTGAGATAGACAATATAGAGAATTTAGAGGAACAAGAAGATCTCCAAGTATTCGTCCAAAAAGTCAAAGGATCCAAAGGAGAACCATGATTCCCTTTTTTGTATAAAAATAAGATTTTTAGTAAATTTTAATAAAAGTTGATAAAATACGTAATTAAAGTATTGATAAAAGTTGTGAATATTTGAAAATGAATTTGAAAAAATAGAAGTTATTCAATGACATACTATCATATAGCATGACGATATCTACACTTTTTAAGTACAAGAAGATATAATAATAATAATAATTCAACCTAAGAAAAACTATTTATTATTAGAATTAACATAAAATAATAAAATTAAAGTTTTCGTTGGTTTTCCATTTTTGTAAGAATGAGAATGAAAAATATAGTCGTTACGAGTCCCATACAAGAGATAGAAATTCAAATTTGATGGTTTGATGTGATGAATAATGATCATATTTTTTATTTTAATAGAGAAAGAATGGAAAACGAAAGGGGCTTAATAAAAAATTGGGAAAAAAATTTGTTGTGTCATCCCCAACTTCTATTTTTTTGAACTTCTATGTCCCTAACGCTTAACTTCCTCCGCTTTCATAGTTACCTTTGACATTACCAAACAACTCTCTTTACAAAACTTCTTTAGTATTCTATTCCGTTCTATCGCTCCGATTATACAAAATGGATCCTTCTACTGGACCCGCCAATCATGACCCGCCGGGCAACGATCTGACAGCGGCGAACGAGGAGGAGGAGTCATTATGTCCAACAGTGCTCGACCTCACGAGTTTCCAACTCCACGATCTTGAATCGGTGGAGATTCCGCCGAGTCTCACGGAGTTAGACTTGACGGCAAACCGTCTGTCGACGTTAGACCCCCGCATCTCCCAACTCTCCAATCTCAAAAAGCTTTCTCTTCGTCAGAACCTTTTTAACGATGACGGAGTCCAGCCTCTCTCCACGTGTCACGTCGTTTGCGCCCTCGAAGTACCAATTCTATCCTTCTCCTTTATTCATATATTTTTCAAGTTTTATCTTTATTATGAATACATTTCACTGCTTTGATTATTAAATTAGTGTATTTTTCATGTATTTGTTTAGTTTCTGTAAGATGTGAAGAAAAAATACCAATTCGTAACTTGTTTGGTTGTGGATGTAAAAGTTATATTTCATGTTTACTCCTGAAGTTTTAAAACAAAGCTGTGTTTGGCTTATCATCATCATCACCATCATCATTATTTGATATTACTATTGTTGTTATTCTTGGATGCATTTGGACTGGTTGTGACATTTCACAAGCAAAAGGATTGAAAATGAATTAATTTGCGTTCAACCATTTATTATTTTGGATATTTAACATTTTCCAAGTTTTGGTCATGTTAAATATGGTATATTTGAAGATGGCGAATTAACAAAATAGGATGCAATGGCATGAATGAACTTGATCATGTTGTTTTCTTGTCCCTGCAACAGCATCTTAAGCTCAAAAAAGTGACTTCTGTGATGGTGGATTAACAAAACAGGATGCAAAGGCATGAATGAACTTGATCATGTAGTTTTCTTGTCCCTGAAACAGCTTCTCAAGATACATTTGAATGTGTATTTGGTTGTTTTATTGGTATGAGCCTTTCAATGTTGTCTTCAACTGTTATTATTACGTGGACAAAAGTACTGGACATTGAACCACCTAGCTAAGTCTGGTTCTGCTCAAGTTTTAAATGGTATTGGTATTAAACCAGTTCTAGTTAGGTTTTCAGTTCTGAATCCTAGAACTGAAAGCCAGAACTTTTTTGATAAAAAATATAGAGGCTAACTGCACCCCTCATATGGAAGAATCAACCCAATGTTAATCTCGTACTCTATATGCAATGACATTTTTTTTTTCATATAAATATGAATATGGAATACATGTGCGTGTTTCTTTACTACTTTTTGACCATTTATTTTTTTCTTCAGGCGGCCCTTTGATTTCTATATTTTATATGGTCAAGATGGCCCTATTCTTTAGGGCTGACAATTATGGATCTAGAATAGGGGAAAAAACGAGTTATGAAAAATTCAGTAGAAGAATTTTAATTCCCCCTCTTCTTGCTGCACTTCAAGTTTAATTTTTGTTCATTTGCTGCCTGGATTGAATAAAATTCATTTAAGGCAAAGGTTTCTTCTTCTTTTAGGATTTATGAAAAATTTGGGGTCCTATTTCATATCCACGTCTAAGTTTGTCTATACATATATATGTACAAATGTGTGTGTACGCATGGGATAATGAATCTTATAACTTGAAGGAACCAAACTGGAATAGTTGGTTCGATGTTGTCAATTTATTTTCACAAGTTTACGGACCGTAACAAGTAATAGTGGACCTAAAAGTCTGGGTTGTCGATCTCACAATGACTATATTCTAGTACTTAATTCAATTTTTCTGTAACTACTATTTGATGAAAACAAATAAAAAGTTGTAGGATTTGAGTTTTAATCTAAATTCTAGAAAATAAATGGATGCATACACAATTGTTTGGAAAATCAAATAATGAATGGACGTTAGGGCAAAATAACTTCACCTATTATTCACCTTTACATCTCAAATTAAGATTGTTATCTAATGTAGTGTTCTGTCGAATTCTCTTATTGTATTCAATTTACCCCTTTTGGATTCTCATTGAACCTATTTAACTAATTAAATTCAATATCTCTATGCAAATCCACTTAGTTAAACGAGTTCTTCGTCTTAAAAATTCAATTATGATCGCAATAATTGGCATATGTATCTCTACTCATTACACCAATTTACCGGATTTCACTACATGGTCTAAATTCTAAACTCATATCTCTATTCGTAAAGGATTCACAAAAATCATTAAATTATTGATCAAGTAATTTAATGCATTCAATCCATAGTGAAATCAATACATAAAAAAATTAAAAACCAAGAATCTTAATAAGAAAATATAAAGGATCTCAATTGGTTATATTATTCGCCCTAGTAATGAATTTAACTATTTATAATGAAAGAAGAAAAACAATCAATTGTCTTAAAATAAATCACCGGATTTATAGTAAAGATGTAGAAGAAAAATTAGAATTCTTGCACTAAGATTTTCTTCTTCAAATCAATGCGTTGAACCTACAATTGCTTGATGTTTTCCTCTTTTCAATTTCTCCTTTGATTCTCCAATTATGTTATCTTGTCTCTCAATGTGTGAAGAACCCTCCAATTCCCTCCTCCACGGTTGTATTTTTGTCTTCTTCAAGTCTTGGAAGAGTTTTAGTTGAGTTGAGCTTTTAAAAAGACGAATTTTACTTAAAAACCCTACTTGAAGGCAGCGTGGCGCCTAGGCGCTGCAATTGAGCACCTAAGCGCTTAATTTTAGGAAAAATAATAAAAAACATAGTGCTTGGGCACTGTTGTCAATTCGTCGCACTGCACAGCACTCAGTATTTCTATCATAACTTTTTTTTCCGATGTCCGATCGAGGCGATTCACGATGTGTTGAAGAGCTAACTCAAAGGGCTACAACTTTGCTTCAAATACCATTTTCAAATTCGATCATTTGTTATATCAAAAATGGGTCTCAATATGAGTTTGAAAACGATGCATGCATTTTTTCGGTTAGAACTTGATGTGTGATCATACTTTGATTATATTTCATCCCTTTGATGTCTTTATTTATTCAATTGACTCCGAGTACTCTTGAATCCTCATAGTGAGGTCTGACACAACCTTTGAGTATTTGCATTTTAGTTCTCGAACTTCGGATTTCTTACAACTTAGCCATTTTCCTCCAATTTTGTCAACTTTTGCTTATTTCTTTCAAATTCTTGTACCTTCATTGAATTTTACCTATTCAACACGAAATGCAATAATTTAGACCATAATTCATCCGAAATGAACTAAATATCATCGTTTTAAAACCTTGAATAAGTGTATATAATACACTTATCATTCGGTTCCATAATGAGAGATGGAACCAATGGTTGCATTTTTAAGATACCCATTGATACTTGGTTTGCTTCTTTTTTGGAACCAGACCAAACTGGACCGTGCCACCCCTAGATATTAACTTATTATAGGGTGGCGTGAAAACATGACGAATGAAGGATAGATTTATCCCAGAAAAAAGATGAAGGGAAATTTTCTGTAAGCCTCTTCTTTCCTAAGTACCCTTTGTTTTCCTAAATAAGTTTATCCAAAGCACTTTATTATTGCAGTTAACCCCTATATTGTAGAAAATTTATTGTTTAGCAGAAACTCATTTCAGACTATTTCCTTTGTATTGGTAAACTGTTGCTTTTCTTACAAATAATATGAATGCATGCATGCTTAAGAATAGAGCTAAGCAATCAGCCTTCAACTTTTAGCTGTGCTCATGTTTTCCTTTACTGCTGTATTATGCATGTGTGCTTTCGGGTGCTAATTTATTTCTTATACAACAGCTGTACTCATGATATTGCATCTGAGAGTTTATTGAAAGAATTTTTTGGACCTGAATATGAGTTGTTTCAAGAATTCTTTTAGCATGTCAAAATAACAAGAAAAAGTCTTTTATTATTATTATTTTTTTTCAGGAGCTAATTCTCCGGGATAATCAGCTGAAGAAAATTCCTGATGTTAGCATATTCAAACAGCTTCTCGTGTTTGATGTTTCTTTCAACGAGATCTCATCTCTTAATGGACTGTCCAAGGTCTCCAGCAACCTTAAAGAGCTCTATGTTTCTAAAAATGAAGTTACAAAGATGGAGGAGATTGAACACTTTCCTTTACTGCAAATTCTTGAGCTTGGATCAAACAGATTACGGGTCAGGATTTAAATTCTCGAAGGAGATGTGTAAAATGCTATTAATTAACTGTCATAAACTTCCAATAAATGATTATGTTCCTCGTTGTGCAATTTTATTTCTTTGTTTCCAAGACAGAAACTTGTACACTTTTTACGTAGGAGTAGTAAGTGTACAAAATATATTGTTTTAGAAAGTTGCCTACTTTGAAGCATGTATTTCTGGTTTTAAAATAGTTGCCTGATTTTGAAGTACTTTGCGTATAGGTAATGGAGAACCTTCAAAACTTTTCCTTTACTGCAAATTCTTGAGCTTGGATCAAACAGATTACGGGTCAGGATTTAAATTCTCGAAGGAGATGTGTAAAATGCTATTAATTAACTGTCATAAACTTCCAATAAATGATTATGTTCCTCGTTGTGCAATTTTATTTCTTTGTTTCCAAGACAGAAACTTGTACACTTTTTACGTAGGAGTAGTAAGTGTACAAAATATATTGTTTTAGAAAGTTGCCTACTTTGAAGCATGTATTTCTGGTTTTAAAATAGTTGCCTGATTTTGAAGTACTTTGCGTATAGGTAATGGAGAACCTTCAAAACTTAACAAGCTTGCTAGAGCTATGGCTTGGACGGAATCGTATCCGAGCTATTAATCTTTGTGGGTTGAAATGCATTAAGAAGCTTAGCCTGCAGAGTAATCGTTTAACTTCCATGACAGGATTGGAGGTATTCAGTGTTGAGTCCTTTTGTGATTGAAGAACTTATGTATGAAACTCTTTTTATTAAACTCTATGCAATGCTTGCATCAATTATTTTATTTTATTTTATTTTATTTTTTTCTGTGATTTGCAGGAGTGTGTTGCATTAGAAGAACTATACTTGAGCCATAATGGTATAGCAAAAATGGAAGGCCTATCAACACTAGTTAATCTCAGGCTGTTGGATGTGTCGGCTAACAAGCTTACAGAAATTAATGACATCCATAAATTAGAACGGTATATATATCTAGTTTACACATGTAGTTGCACTGCACATCCCCATACATTTGTTCTCACTGTAAGTCGGTTCTGCAGGTTAGAAGATCTATGGCTTAATGACAACCAAATAACTTCACTAGAAGGAATAGAAGAGGCAGTTGCCGGTTCCAGAGAGAAGCTCACTACCATCTACCTTGAGCGCAATTTATGTGTACGTATATCTTTTCTTCTTAGTGGAAATTAGTCTGCATTGTTCAAACTGGGAACATCATTTCAATATAATTGTCAGCATCAGTTGGTTCTTAGTTTAGAGAATTCTCATTGGCCTTCCGTTAGTATTTCTATTATGATAGCTTCTTATTATGCTAAATCCATTGTACACCTTTAGCCATAACATACCAGCATGCGTCCACTTTTTCGAACAGTTCGTTCTTTGGGAACCTTGTGAATGAAGTAGGCTTCAAGTTGGTTTTCTTTAAGTGTATTCTACTCACTAGATCGTGTAGAAATACTTGTATCATGTCTTGTTCTTGCAGTTCCATACTTAATTTTGAATAGTTAGTCCAACGGACTACAGCTGAATTGCTGGATTACATCAGAAGTTTTTCAGATGGCAGTGATTATGGGTGTAGAATTTGTTTTTCCAAGATCGAATATGATTTAGGACCATAATATACCCATTTAAACTTGATCTCTGATTGCACAGTCATGTCTATTGACATTTTTCAGGGACTTCTGTAAAGTAATTATAAGCAAAAACGTCAAAAAAATTTCTTGAATACTGCATTATCAAGACACTGGAATTATAACTTGCATTTCCTCCCATGACAGAAATTTGGAGATATGTTTTAGATTTTTGTATCCTCTATTTTGCCCACTTGTATCCCGATTCCAATGTGTACCAAAATCCTACTTGTTTTCTATCATAGTGCATTGAGAAATTAGATTTCATCAATGTTTAAAATGCGGTTGGCCAGTTATAAGATTTTCTCCAGTTTTCTTAACACCCCCCCCCCCGCCCCACCCCACCAAAATGCCTCCTGGTTTACTCTGTCAAATTTTAATGAAATATCAAGTTTTTATAATGCTGCTTCTTCCCCCTGCAGGCTAAATCTCCAAATTATATTGCCACTTTGAAACAAATCTTCCCCAATGTTGAGCAGATCGATTCAGAAGTTTTTGCATAGTATATCTGATTTGACGTATGGACGAATTTTGGAATGAACTCATACAAAGAGAGGAATCATGATGCTGACACTGGATAATTCTCAAGCTAAATATCCTTATTTTATGTCTACTATAAATCTGATTTATAGCCCAGTCTAGTAATTCCCTGAGGCTACATTGGAGAAGTTTTGAACTTTTTCAGGCGCAGACTTGCATTCGAAAACTATATACAACTTTCTCATGCAATCATTTATAATTCTTACATTCCAGTATTATTTATTTGAAGAGTTATCGTATACCAAAAAACTGATGTCTTGTTTCTTAAGTGGGGATTTAAAGCATTTTAGGATTAAGGAAGCACTTTATTGTGGTTAAGAAATCAAAATTATTTTTGATTCATAGATTCGTCTTTATTATTATTATGTTTTCATGTGAGCGCACCTATTATGTAAATCGCAATTGATATCTTGCATTTTTGGCCCCGTGTTTTCAAGTTCATTTGGAATAGAAATCTATCAGGATTGGGAGAAATTGCTCCTACAATGAGACGTGAGAAAGCCTCCAACTAAACATGGCACATTTCAATGCTTTAGTGGAACCTTCTTGTAAAGATGTGTTGGTCACAGAACGATTCAAAACCTATTTATAGAGAAATTATACAAAACTTTAAATCGTAAAAATTGAAATGGGGCACAAGGTCGCTAGGATTGTTTTTGCCTTGAAAGAGCTCGAATGTTCAGTCTAAAAAATCTAATCATTCATTGAGTATTTGTCTAGGGATATTGCTCCGGATCTACTAATCTCAACCGAGAAAAAGTACATAGATATATGAAAAAATTAAGTTCTTTTTTTCCTCTCTATTGAAAATCAGTAACCAACACTCAAAAATCTCTTAAAGATCATACAGATCAAACCTCATTCTTACTAAAAGAGTAAAGATTACAACACACAAATCCTAGTTACAAATTTCTAAAGAGAACTCTAACCCATAGAGAGAGAGAGAGAGAGAGAGAGAGAGAGAGAGAGAGAGATGAAGAGAGAGGGCCAGGTAAATGTATAGATGAAGAGAGAGGGCCAAGTATATGTATTCATTCACATTAATCGATTTCAATTCAGGGTCAAGAAAAAGTCACTATATGATAGATCACAACCCACTTAACAAAAGCAAAATGCATGTAGCATGAGAACATGTTTTAATGAAATGGGCCTCAAACCCGATTTTGAGAATAATGTAGCTTAACAGGACAAGTAAATAGTGAGGCAGCCTAACATTTAACAATCTCCGCCTTGTGGAACTATTAATTGGTCTCAACTAATGGATCTAGACATCACTTAGCTTCAGTTGCTCTAAGTATTTGCAAAAGAAAAATTTTTAAGTTAGTTCAATTTTCAACATATAAAAGCTTGATATTCTATCACTAGGTCATTACCTTCGAGTGATGTTTAGAATCTTCAAACGATTTCTAAATTTATTAAGAGTTAGAATTTTGGTTTCTACACCAGAGAGATTAAATTCTGTAGAAATTTTAACTAAACGGATCAAACATTTCTCAACCATGTTTCTCACAAAGTGAAACTTTATATTCACATGCTTTGTTCTGTCATGATATACTGAATTTTTGCTGAGATGAATAGTATTTTGATTATCAGTATAAATCCTTACATAATCATTCATAGAACTAATTTCATTTAATAACCCCCTTAACCAAATACTTTATTTAACAGCATCACGTGCAACAATATATTCAGTCTCAGTGGAAGACAGAGCAAACCAATTTTTATCGTTGAAATTTCCAACTAATGCATCTATCATACAAGTAATGACATAAGACGATATGGATCTTCTCTTATTAAGGTCACTAGCAAAATCCAAATCAGTGTATTCTTTAAGCGTTATTCATTCATTGCTTCTTTTAAACATCAACCCTAAATCAGAAGAACCTTTTAGTATTTTATCATCAATTTTATAGCTACCCAATGTATTTTACCTAAATTTGCCATAAAGCTACTTAAAATGTTAATATCATGAGCTAAGTCAGGTCTGGTACATACCATAAAGTACATAATAGATCTTATAGCATTGACATAAGGGACATTTTTCATTCTTCTCTATTCATCCTTAGTTTTGGGTGACTGATTATTGGACAATTTAAAATGATTGACAATAGGCAAAGAAACATGTTTACACTCAAGATACTTTTTGACAAGGCAAACCTTGTCACTTTTTTAATTTTATTTCATATTCCTTAGGTTGATTCATATATATGACCTCATTAAGATCACCATTAAGAAATGTTATTTTAATATCAAGTTGATCCAGTTCCCAGTCAAAGTGAGCAATCAAGGCAAACAGAATTCTAATGAAAGTAGGCTTTGCAATTGATGAAAATATTTCATTGTAGTCCACTCATTCTTTTTGAGTGAAGCCAGAAGGCTACTAATCTGGATTTATATCTCTTGTTTTCTGCATTGAAATCTCTTTGCTTGATTTTGAAAATTCATTGACAATCTACTACCTTTTATCTTTAGGTATGTTAACTAAAATCCATGTTTTATTTTTAATTAAAGAATCTATTTATTCATTCATGACTTCTTTCCAAAACTTAGAATATAGGTAGTTAATAGCATTCTCAAAAGTAGTAGGCTCAGAATTTAAGGAGTTTAATGTAAAGAATAGAGTAACAAAATTATCATTAATGAAACTAGTTGAAGATATTATTTTTCTTCTTTCTCTATCTCTTGTGAGTTGATAACCAGCAAGAAATGGGTTAATTGATTCAATTTCTGATTCGCTTTGATACTTCAGATTGAGTAGTCTCCACCTCAATCAAATCATCTTGATCAGTAGCATTTTCAGTATGATTTTCCAAAATAGTCTCTTTGATAGGGCAAATTCATTAAATTTCATATCGACAAGTTATTGCAGGGAATGTCAAAAATGACATTCCTGCTAACAATAGCTCAGAAAAACACATTTTAAGGATTTAGGTTCAAATTTACCTTTACTTTGATAAGCTAGAAACTTTAAGTCTACTATAGTCTGGTGTCTTTCCTAGCCACAGGTTTTCAAGAACTTAAAAGTCAATAGCATTAGATGTACTTCTATTTATAAAGTAGGTGGCAATTTTTAGGGTTCTCTCCAGAAAATTTTGAAAGACCAGAACTATGAAGCATATATCTGACCTTTTCCAATAAAGTCGTGTCCATCCTCTTAGCAACACCATTTTGCTAAGGGGTGCATATTATAGCTCTATGCCTTAGAATTTCAAACTCTTTACAAAAGGAATCAAATTCAAGATTACAATGTTCAAGTTCATTATCAGTTTTAAGTGCTTTGGTTTTCTTATTTATTTGATTTTCAATCATTAATTTCCATTGTTTGAAAATTTGAAAGGTATCAGATTTTATTTTATTTTATTTTATTTTTTTGTCTTAAAAGAAAAGTCTATATTTTCTTTGAAAAATCATCTACTATTAGTAGATAGAACTTAAATCTACTTAAGATATTTACAAAAGCTTGACCCCATAGGTTAGCACGTAAATGGTCAAGATAGAGGTGGATTTATGAATTCTAGTATTGAATGGTAATCTTGTTCCAATTATACATTCTTCATAAAAATCTAACTTCTTAATTTTATCATTTCCAAAACATTCAAGTTTATTTAAGAAATTCAGTCACTTTTCAAAAACTTGGCCAAGTCTTTTGTGCCAGATTAAGGACTTATTAGAGGTAAAATTTATAGCTGTAAAGTTGTGCGTACTAAAGGTTTAGCATAGACAATTTAAATTCCATTTAACTTAGGATACGAGATGATAGCTTTGTTATCATAATCCAGTTTTATGAGGCCTTTGTGAATCAATATATTGTATTTGTAATCTAATTCTCTCAAAGAAATTAGATTTCTTTTAAGTTTAGGAACATATTTGATATCTCAAGTATATAGTTATTATTCAACAACAGTTTCAATTTTCCAATTTCCAATTTTCTTAATCTGACAACTTATGTCATTTTCCATCTAAATTTGTCCTCTATTTAGATCAACAAATTCATATAACCATTCTTTAATGGGACATATGTGAAAAGTGTAGCAAAATCAAGGCCTCATTCATCTGAATCTCTTATGATTGTACTAACAAGGACGACACCTTGAATATCGGGATCATAAACCATCTTAATTGTTTCTTTCTTCCATGTCTAAAATTTTTTAAAGCAATTCTTTATTACAAGTCCTACTTTTCCGCAATAATAATATCACCTGGCCTGGTTCTTCGTTTTCACTTGATTCTTATTTTTATGTTTGAATTTCTAATTCAGAGATTTTTCTTTTTTGGAAGAATTAAAATTATATTGATTTTTTTTTTAATACTTTGGATCAGTTTTTCTTTTATATGTAGCCCTTATTTGAACTCAATTTTTAGCTCAAGTTCTTTATTTCTTAAGGTAGAAATTAAAATATCAACAGTAAGATCTTCCCTCTCATATATTCTAAGGCATTTTCTGATGACCCTTGCATTTTTCATTTAGTGAATTTAATAGCGCAACAACTTGTTGATCATCAGATAGATTCTCATCACGTTTAGCAAAATCTTAAATTAATTTTGTATATTTGTCAATATTTTCTTCTAGCCTGCAAGAGGAGTCAAATCTAAAGTTATAGAACTGTCTTATAAGATAACATTTGTTTGCCATGATTTTAGTTAGATAAAAAGTTTTTAACTTAGCCCATAAGGTCTTAGCAGTAGAGGTCTCACCAACTTTCCTAATCATATTATCAAATAGGTGAAGAAAGATGGAACTCCTAGCAATCTCGTCTAATTCTTGTCTTCTATAGGCAATAATTTTAGCGGCCCATGTCCCGTCAAAGGCACCATCACACCTCTACACAAGGCTCTCATTTTCTGGCGCCAGAGACGGAAGTCTCCAATACCATTCCATGTCTAAACTTCAAATTTTTGTGCAGCGATCATGTTGACAAATATATTTACAAAATTAAAACAATACAACAAAGTATTATTGTTTCAAGCAATTCAGTGTAATAGAAGATATTGTGAATTTCTAAATAAATCAAGTGTGTGAGTTTGTGCTTACTTATCATGCAATTCAAAAAACACAAGTTTACTATTAGCAAGTATGATTGTCAATTTGAAACAGTTTAAGGAGTGATAATCCTTGATTCCACCTACTCTCTCAAATTTCCAGACCCTTACAAGAGATTCTGGACAAGGAAAGTAATGATAGATTCCTTATCTTATTAACTAGTTTCAGAATTGACAAGAATAGTTAATAGGTAACGGGAGAGTTTTAGGAAATTCCAAAGTCTGAAATCTCAAAATTTCATAATGAAATGAGCAATCAGAAA